AAGAGTTGTTTGTTGTGAAAGAGTTTGAGAAAAGAGTTTTTGAAAAAAATTTAGTACGAAAAGGGTGATTTTTATAAGAAAAAACGCGTAACGTGATTAACGTGATTTTTTGATTTTTTTCAGTTTACAAATTTGTTTGACTCGGTATCAGGGACGATGATTTTCTGCAAGTTAATTATAAGAAATTCTGTGATTTGGCCAGAATTATGCAAGGTCAGCCAACATTACGATCACAAATTCTGGCCAAATTTAATGTCAGCCAGCATTATGATGATTGCATATCCTAAATCAGGCGAAAATTAATATCATTTATTCTGTGATTATATAGTTTAAATCATCAATAATAATGTTATCGGTTTGACGGGACCGTTATGCAATTTTTATAATAAACTCCCGTTACTATCCAATAATTTTATTATTATGCTAATACATCGTAACATGCAACTTATGAGGATAACTGATAATATATGAAATCATTGAGCAACCGACCAATAGAATATTAGCAATACAAAATATTATTTATGTGAACATCAGGAGTAAGATATTTTTATCTTCGAATAATATATTTATACTTAGCTTTTTTTTATACAAACTGTTGGAGCGCGACGAACCTAGCGTCGCCTCAGAAAAATGGAAGCCGGATTCATTTTGCCGGTTCTTTAGAATTAGGGTTAGGACTAGAGTTAGGTTAAAGGGATTAGGATTAGTAATTTGTCACGTAGTGTAGAAGTTCTTCAATTTTATAATTATTCTGTGGACTTGGAAATTTTTAACTCTAATTGTCGCCCCGGAAAAATGAATCCGGCTATCATTTTTTGAAGGCGACGCTAGGGTGGTTGTTAGAGCGCGTAAAAAGTACAAGTATAAAACTAATGTGATTTTGTTTACATCACGCGTGTTATAAATAATCTATAACATATTTATGTATTTAAACGCGTGCGGACATACAAATCTAAAGTCTAAGTAGATTATTATGTAATTTATTCATGCGACTACTTAAATAAGAAAATTTCCACTTTTACCAGTTAGATACATTATTAGGGTTTCATATAAAGTTCAATTCTGGTAATTCGGTTAGCTTATAAATATTTTTCGTATAATTAAAAACGAATCATCATGTCTGAAAGAAAATAGTTGATAGTTATATTGTTTACTGTGTAGCATTGACGCTTCGTCGTATTATTATTATAAAAACTTTATGAAACAAAGGAAAGGTACGATGTAAAATCTCATTTTCAGTCTCTCGTTCACTTTGCATGTTCATTCCTTCATATTAAAAACACAATCTAAACTTTTAAAACTGTCTTTACTGAAGATATTCAGAAAAAGGATGGTTATTTTATTTATTCACCTAAAGTATTTGAAATGGTATTTTTCAGTATACAGTAATTTCTAAAAGTTTAAAAAGATAAATGAAATTTTTCTAACATTTTTCTTTTTATATATTTATTGTGGAAGTATCGACTTAACAAGATTACAACCGTGATATATTGAATAACTACCATCAGATGAACTTGAACTCCAGCCTTTAATTTACGTACGATCAAAAAATTAGATATGTTATGGAATAACTAATTTGTGATATATCGACAGAAGATATTGTCTCTTTTAAAGTATATACTTTTAGAGAAATACTACCAAATGATTTGACCCAAATAACATATTTACATATCATACGGAACCAAAAATATTATATAACCGAATCGTGTGTAATTTTCAATGAGATTGTATAATAACTACATTGAAGAAAGCAATGCAAAATCGCATTGCAAAGTAATATCAACATTTTGATATTATTGCTAGTCGGACCGCCTAATATTTTACTATCTTGTAACAGGTGAAGTTCAAAAATAATTAAAAAATCAACTTTATCTCTATGATCTTGGGTAATTACAAACATATGAATGGCTTTGGTATTCGCCGTCATATAGCTGGTTTTTATAACCGTATTCGAAAGAAATTTTATACAAAATTTATTGCAGCAATGATTTATTTATGTAAATTAATATTTCGCGTTTAATTGCGTATTGATATTTTAGAAAGGGCTTAGGACTTCGTGTTGTTCTTAAGAAAGCATTTTAGATTAATTAACGTTTACTTCATGTTCAATAACTTTCAACATGGCTGGAGATTCTTCTGCAATGGCAAAACTCTCACGCTTCCAGGCGTAAAAGATGGCATAACTATTGTAACGAAACTAATTCTGGCAAAATCTTTATTGAAAAATTATTAACCATATTTGAATGCGCCCATAACTTCTGGCACAATTGTGGATCTTTCTGATTGTCATGATTATGATTTTAATCATCTTAACTTTTGTAGACATATGTTTGTTAATATAGCGAAATTACTTTGCAAATTATTTCTATATTTTTAGATTTTATTTACTATAATGATTGCATAAATTCTTATTTGGCTCCTAACGAAAAACATTGTAATAAATAAATAAACCATATAATAAATCATAATGGCCACAAATAACATCATTTAGTGCATTTGTATGTTTGTTTGTATTAGAGTTTAATACCTTAAGTGGACCTTCTCATAATAGGCATAATACGAGTTTGATTTCAGATACTGGTTCTTAACTTACTTAAGATGGTTGATATTCTGGGTAATAAAAAAAATAGACGTTCACGATTACCTCATTATAAAACGCCCATTTATTTATAAGGTTACATAAAAACCGATTTTTGGACAAGTTTATCATCATCAGTGCATTCAGTGAATTTTGCGAAACATATTTAAGTTTATAATTTACTCTTTTTGTAAATCTCAATGAATTCTACTTTTAATACATACGTTATGGTGCTATTTCGTTATACTTGCATTAACTGATTAAATGAAATTTTTTAAATTTTAATTTTCTTAATTAGTTAATTTAAAAAGATATTTACATGATTTCATATAACGAAATGTTTTTTTTTGAATGAATTCTAATACAAAAAAAGTCTAAATAGTGTTATACCACAGTTATTTAAGAATTTTTAATAATTTTATTAATCATAAATAGTAAATTTGAAAATTCGATTCAGCAGATGTTTTTTGTTATTTATTCTTACGATTTTTCTTTTTCTTTTCTTTTTAACAATTTCCTTTCACGTTTGGTAAACTGATCTAAAAAAAATTATGGGTGACGAAATAATTCCAATAGATGAAAAACAAGATGATGTAGATAATGAAATTGTGCCGCACAACCCACGCGACCCGCATAATGCGCACAACGGAAAACAAGTATCTTTAGTATCTTTATCTCTTAACGGTAAATATGTCGTCACATATAGCGAAGATGATAAATCAATTGAAGGATGGATTGTTAAAAATTCTGACTAGATCCTGAAGCAAATGTTTATAAATTACCAGAAGTAGTAAATTTTATTACTGAGTTAAAAGTAAATGATAAAATTGTTTGTTATACATATTCTAATAGCAATAATATTAATATCTTTGAAATGTCAACCAAAAATCAGCAAATTAAAGATGGGGATCTTTTAATATTCAATAATGATAAAATATCAATTTATCATTCTGCACATGATAAGATAAGTTTAATGTCATCTCATAGACTATCATCATATAACGAAGTAATAACAGGAGTGTCTATTGATGATAATAATATATGGATTGTTTCTCCACATTATTTATTTCATTGGGACTTTGAAAAATTTCAATTGAAGTTTAGTTATTCACTTAGATTTACGACAACTTATACTGATGAAGATGACGAAGGTGATAAAAGTAAAAATATTTACAAAAAGTTTACAGTAATACATAAAGAAAGTTTAATCGGGGTAAAATATTGTAATGAAATTGCAATTTTTTTAGAAAATGTACATTTTCCAATTCGAAATATTCAATTAAAAGATACCGATACAAAAATAGAATTTTGCGAAGTACAAAATAATGATTATCTTCTGGCTTTTAATTTACCTAAAAAAGATGAAAAACAGAATATAGTCTTATATAATATAAATGATATTAATAAACAACCCATAGATGCATCAATGATTTTTAATGAGAAGAAGTTTATCCTTTATGAATATAATTCAGAATCAAAGAAAGCATTTGGATTAGTCGATGGAAAATTTTCATATATTAATTTATTAGATTTAAATTGGCATGAATTTTTTGAATCTCATAAAGAAGATGATGATTTAGTTGGTTGGAATGATTATTTGGGTCAAACCTTTAAGTATTACTATAATGATACTTTAGCTATTCCTGATATGGAAAATATTAAATCTTTACATTCCCCTTCTGAATCGAAAAATATGAAAGAGATTAGATCTTTATTTTCTGATGAATATGAAAATAAAAATATTGCAACTAAAGATATAAACTTCAATAATCAAAAATATAAATGGAGAATAGAACTGAAAAACGATGAACTCGGTGAACTTTCGGTTTATTCAGATAAAGAAGAATTTCTGTGTTCAAAAGATTTAGGTATCAAGTTTACGAGGTTGAACTGGAAAATTCTTAACAATAATGCGTTAGCATTACGACTTAATTATGATAATATTATAATATACGAGTATGATATCCATAACAAATGTATTAAAACTCAATACTTCATTTACAAAAAAGAAGGACTAATAGATTTTTCTGGACCTATATTACCGATGATAGATACAAAAGATATAGCAAACCTCAAAAAAGATAATCATAAACAATATTTCACACAATTATCAGAAAGTATCGTTAGCATCATTGAAGACAAAACTCACGAAAGATGTCTTGCGAAATATGGACCAACTTTATTATCAAATTTAGTAAAGTCGGCTGATCCAAAATTTACTCGTAATATAGAAGATATTTATAACAAATGCATAAAACTTGTTAAAGAAGATCCAAAAAGAAATATGAAATTTCTGAATATTATCACATCATCTATGAATGATTTATATAAAAAGTATCCTGATTACATAATAAAATTTAATTCTGAAATGTTTATGATTTTAGACCCTTTTAATGAAAGAATTCACAGTGATGGGAATTATTCCCATTTTTGTACTTTTTGCGATGAAGTAGAAATTCGTAAAATAGACCAATCTATTAAAAATATTATTAAATCTATTAAACTTATTATTGAATTGATCAAATTAATATTTGCAACAATCTTATATTTGGCTATTTTAATTTTATTATTACCATTTATACCATTTATAATTATACTTATGATTATTTGTTTAATTATGGGTCGAGGAGAAATGATTCCTTTTTTGCTGCTTGCAATTCCTTTCTACATTGTTACTAAACAACGCAAGCAACAAATTGTTCTTATCATACCCTATATAGATTATTCTCGTTATCCTTTAGAATATAGTTTCTGGAAGGAAATATTTTATCCTCAATCAAGTGTTTTTGTTAATACTTGTAAAAAAGAATTTTATTCAAATTGGAATGGCGAAGCAATTATTAATTTTAAATGGAAAGCATTTGGAAGGATATATTATTTTGTTATTTGGTCAATATTTATGGTTTTTCTTGTGTGTTTCACAATTGCTTCTTATCCTACAAATTCTATAACTCAAAAAGTTCGTATCAGTCTCTATCAAACTTCAATTGCTTTTGGATTTTTTCATCTTATATTTGAATAAAGACAATTTATCTGGAATCCAAGAAAATATTTTACAAGTATTTGGAATTTATTTGGTAAGTATATTTTTTAAGTTTTATCTTTAAAATTTATTAAACTCGAACTAACTTTTTTTAAAAATCTAGATTTAAGTGCTTACCTTTCTGCTACTCTGCTACTATCGCGTCAATTTATTGGATTAAATATGATGACATGATACCAGACTGGGCACTGTCAATTACATGTATATTATTAGATTTAAAATTTTTACTTTTCTTTAGAATATTCGAATATTTTGGTATTTATTTTGCAATAATTTTTGGAGTAGCCAAACGTGTATTTTCTTTTTTATTAGTATTAGCAATTATTATTGCAAGTTTTGCGCATGGTTTTTTTTTACTTTTACATCCTCGAAATCTTTTAGATTCATTAAATGAACAAAATCCAAATGATTCAAATAATCCTTGGACTCTTTCTAATACTTATAATCAAGTTGATGAAAATGGAAATATTTTAAATGAAACACTTATTCAAGTTCCTAGTGAAAATACCAATTTATTTTATTCGTATCCTACCTCTCTTCTTGCGACATATTTATTTTTAACAGGTAATCGTTAACGTTAATTAATATTTACCATAAAAATAACTATACTAACTTATTTGGTCTGGATTTTAGGAAATCAAAATTCATTATCACCTTGGGCGCTAAAACCAACAACTGAAAATACGATATTATTCATTCTAATGGCAGTATTTTCATTCTTAATTGTTATATATTTAATGAATTTATTTATTGGTTTACTTAATATGGCGATTGAAAAGGATAATGATAGAGCCTTGTATTTAGTACAAAAAGCAGAAGTTTTAGCAGAAATTGAACTTTTTTATTTATTACCTCATCAAAGACGCTGGAGGTCTTGGTTTCCTGAAGTAATGTAAGTATTTTATTATAATTATTATTTTTTAAAAAAAATGAATACTAATTAATAATAACCTTCTATGATTTAGTTATTGTCGTGTAGATGTTGAAAAAACTCGGATATATATTAAAGAAGCAATTAAAAAAGGTAAATGGAACATGGATGACTGGCCTGAAATGAAGCATAAAATTTTAAAGCTTCTTAGCATCGATGATGCAATTATAGATCTAGCAGTTTAATTTTAATTGTTTTATATTTGTTAAGTATTTTTTTTTTGTATGTAAATATTTTGATGTATTACATGGCGCAGCAAATTTAGAAACTTGTGACATGTCTTATTTTTTAATAATTGCGTTTGGGTTATAACATTTCCTCTAAGCTTATTACTCTTCAGTGAAGAATTCGAAAAAATACATAAATAGATCATCTGATTCATCTGATGTATTTTTTTTAGGTACAGTATTTACGGATTATATTTAGTTAAAAGGATAGATAAATCTCCCAATAGTACGTATTTCACAGAAAAATCATACCTTTTTTACAGTCATGTGATTTCTTTACTTAGTGCTCATTGGTGGGTTCATAACACCATGCAGTGATACAATGACGCAGTAAATCTCATTAAATGGTAAATCCCCGTTCAAAGTTTTTTATAACATCCAATAAAAAAATTACCTTATCATCTAATTCTAAATAATATGTAAGACAACTTAAATTCTTATCTTTAGTTTACACAAAGTTATCATCTCATATAAAAATTTATGTGAAAATGTGATCACAAAAAATCGATAATATAATGTTTTTACTTTTTATCATATTATTATAATTATGTGGTTACAAAAAAAACACTCTACTAAATACCAATACCAAAGCATTAGAAAAATGGAATATTTGGAATAAATATAGTTGTTTTGAATCATTAGGATAAAGGAGTATTGCATAGAATTTGCGCATATAAAAAGTTACATGTAATAATTTCGTCAATTTGCGTTAAGTTGTGGACCGTAAATTAAATTAAAATATTTTTCTTGGCCAGATTTGGTAAATTAAATGCTAACGCTAATTTTAAACATGCGTCAACCAATACTTTTAATTGATTCAAATATTATTAAGCATCACCAATAATTTCACATAATAATTCCATGGATTCGGTACTAAAATACTTGTAAACTACCGATTGTTGCCAAATTGCCAATAAATTAAGATGCATCAACTGCATGTAATTCATGTTACATTATTCTGATTTATGCAAAATGAATATTTTGACGTACCTGAATTATTAAAATAAATGATCATCCCGTGCACAAGCATATATAATACAAAGCTCTAATATTATTTTTGACACTATTCGCTCAATATTTAAAGAATCAGGAGTAATTTTGAAGAAATTTTTTGAAGTGTATTTTCCGAATAAATTATTAAATTAAATTTGTAAATTATAATGAATTACAATATTAAATAAAAATAAAATTGAAAGTAAAATACGTTTGGTTAAATTTATTATTCTTATATAATATTAAAATATAAAGTCGACCGTTTACAAAAATTAGTCAGTCCAAAAGATAATGGTATTCAAATTGACTTTTAAATTTAATTCGTAATTATATCATGTTTAGCCTGTAAGACATAATGCGCAAGTACTTTGTGGCACAAAATATCTAGGACGCTAAATTGTAAGAATAAAGAACGTACAATAAATTTTATAATTCATTCTTTTTATTTTATAAAAAAAAAAAGGTACCAGGTTTATTATTATTGTTTGTTAAGTTTAATTTTTCTGTAAAAAGTGCGTCATAATATTAATGCGATCATTATAAATGCGAAATTACATTATTTAAATTGTGAATAATATTAAATTTAAAATTAGATTGGTTTAAATTATGAAACTGATATAATTATACAGTATATTTATTTTTATAAAATTAATTTAAATTTTTTTTGAATAGTAAATCTTTAATCTAAATTTAGAATTTTTTTTTTTTTAAACAATTAATAAATTTTCTCAAAGAAAAGTCTTTATTTAAAATTAATTATGATTTGATTTACTTTGCATGTTTCGTATGTTCTAGTACATTAATATGTAAAGAAAATCCCCCTTTTTAGAGCGCATTGAATTAAAGTAGGCATATCGCATACATACAACCTATAAACTTTTTTAACAATACATAAGCAGTTCCGAAATCAATATTTTACTCTATATGGAAAACAGGGTATAATTATAACTAGACAATGAATTATTTGCATAATTTCGCGATATAAATAATAAATAACACGTCAAATAGCGACCTTTTGGTATTTGTAGTATTTAACGGATGTCTATATTAGTAAAGATATGATAACGTTCTTACTCAATGTTTGAAGCACTTAAAAGTAATAATAAATGCAATAGAAAATGAAACAAATTCGAGACAACGTTTAATTAATTGATGCTTGGCTCTCATTTTGTAAAAAATAAAAGAATGTATTGTTGCATTCAATATTCTTTAGAAATTTAACTTTCATGGCTGACGTAATTTATTCTTAAAGATTTTAGTGGCATGCCGCCTTATGTTTTACCAAAGATTCATATTGACCCTTTTTTCAAAAAAAGTAAAATAAAAATTCATCTGTGATATTAAATTGAACGAAAAGAGACAACAAGGAATTACGGAAAGTTAGATTTTAAAGACAATGGAACTTTTTATAATGACATTTATTACTAGGCACCAATCATTTATCACGTTGATAAACAATGACCCAAAAGCCAATAAGGTGATACACAGCCTGGGCCACACATTAAATTCGACGTATGGGAATAATCAGAAGTCGTAACAATTCTAGCTATTTGATACACGTGAAACAGTTAGATAATTGAATTGGGCCTTAAATAGCATTTAAGCAAAAGAGTACAATTTGGATAACTTTTTATTAGATAAAATTTCCGGTAGTTTCGGTAATTTCCGTATTGGGGATGACGAAATTGAAACGATGATGATCTACAAATTATTTATTCACCAAATCCTGTTATTTTAAATCCTATTGTAGGTTAGACACTTAGGAATAAATAATTATGGTTACAACAACATTCGATACATCGACCTTGTTATCTTAAATTGTAGTGGAATGACAAATACAAATATAATATTTTATTTAAAGGCTATGCTACTTCACACTTAATGTGGACTATAATATCATTTATTTTTATTTATTTTTAATATTAATATTTTGTAAATATTATTATGCTAGATCTTTTTATTTCACATAATTGAAACCCAAATAAGTATATAATTAATAAATATTAATCATCCCGATATTTTTTATTGCATATGATTAATTAGAAAAGGATAAGTTTATTTAAGCACAACTTCCCAATTTTTTTTTCTGTTTTCTTTTTCTTTCTTTTTTTTTAAGTTTGGCCTCGGTCTTTTTTTTTCGGTGAATTTACTTTTCTTTCTTTCATTCTGTCTACAGATGTATGAAATTCACCTTAATCATATCATTTGTATTAATTGTAATTAAGCTGTCGAAGCTAACATTTTTTAAAAAGGCTTAATTACGATTCCTACAATCCCGTAAATTTACTTTTACTTTAAAAGTTTAATTTACTTTTTGAAAACTTTGCTTTTAAAAGTTTAGTTTACATTCCCTTTCCCTTTTCACCTCTCCATTATTTTTTACGCCACTCTTGCGATAAATATCTCGTGTTTCGAATTACGAAATTATACGTCATCACTCATCATGGTTCGACTTATAAATAACTTTACAGTTTCCTGTAGAGAAGTAATAAATAATGAATTAGTAAATGTTAATTACGTTTCGGAAAATCCGGAAAATTGTTATTGTGACTTTAGAATAAATCTTCGTTATTGTAAAGGAGAACAATTCTATCTTATAGCGACTTGGATATTAGTGATTTATTCAATATTAATCGGATGTATATCCATGTACTTTTTGTATAACCAAGTATTTATTGTTGGTCAATCCTTATTTTTTCCTCCTTCGAGATTTAGAGGAATTCTTCGACCACGTCCGCAGGAAACATTTCATTTGATTTGTTTTTCATGTAATTTATGTAAGTACTTTTTCGTTTTTATCTTTACGTTTATAATATTTATCAAATTAATTTGTTTTTGTTTTTATTAGTACAAGTTATTCATCTTTTAGTTAAGTTATTTGATGGATACCAAAATACTTTGCATGCAGAACTTTATCTTGACATACCGCGTCTAGTATCATATGCGCTCGCCACACTTTATCCTATAAGCATAAGTAAGAATATTTATTTATTTATTATCCTTTTTCTAAAATGTACATTATCTAAATATTATTTTTTTATTTTTATTTTTAGTTCATTCGACACCGAATATTGATGCAAACACAACAGTAGCTATACGATGGGCACCAAATAAATATTTAATAGATATTGTGGGATTTTCTTTAATGATTTGTCCTTTTATAAGTAATATCCCTTTGGCAATTTATACGGGATATTATGCTGATATTAATGAAATTGAAAAAGCGAATTTTTTTTTTAAAATTCATTATATAATGTGGAGTTTTTGGACTTTTGTTTTATTAATGACAATAATAATATTTTGGTATAAATTAATCAGTATATTAAATAATCATATAAAAATAATTAGTAATCAAAGAGACAATGGAATTATTTTTGATGAAAAATGGAAAGTAGAAAAATTAAAAAAGTCTGCTAAAAATGTAAGTGATCATTATTATTGTTTGTTTATTGTTGTTTATATTTAATTAATTATATATAATTAATTATTGTTAACTAAAATCTTTTTTTTTTCTATTTTTAGTTAACGGTAGTCGTGGCTGCTTTTGGGTCAATCTTTATATTATATTGTGTAATTTGTTTAATTAGTGCTTTCCTTTTTAAATCGACTACAATTTATAATTTGGGATTAAATATGGCTGCTATGTTTATAATGAATTACGTAATTCCGGTATCATTTAACATTGCTCAATTCGTTATTATATATCAGTAAGTTATCGATTATTATTTAATTTAATAATATTTTTTTTTTAAAAAAAAAAAATAATAATTTTAAATTAACCATATTAACCATAAATTCAATTCAATAATTTAATAGTAAATTACGATCGTCACGAGAAAATCCTATTTCCACACCTTTAACGATACTTTCACATAAACGACGAACCAACAAGTCACGTGATGATGATGATGACGACGAAGAAAATATTACTCCAGAAAACGATAATGAAGATAATGAAATCATTTCAATTACATCATCAAAACGTAAACCAAAACCATTAGAATCAATACATCGTCATTTTAATGATGATAATTTTTCAATATCAAATAGATCAAATATATCAATTATATCAAATAAATCATCACATAATGAATTATTTTCATATCATCATTTAAATAAATCAGATAGACAAATTTATAGATATGGATATGAATCAAGTAATAATAGTTCACCAAAAAGTTTTAAATTTAATTATAAATATTCAAGTGGTGGTGAAACTTCTACTTTAATAGGAACTAATAATAATAATAATAATTATAATTATAAGCATAATTCATTAGGAATTTCTTCTTTAAATTCAACTTTTTTAGGTTCTTCAAGTAATTTATCATCTCCTTCTGATAGGGATGAATTTTATATTAATGGAAATTCTCCTTTAAAAAATAATTTTGATGTAAATATTCAAAAAGAAGTAAATTTTAGTAATAATAATAGTAATAATAATAGTATTATTATTGATGATGATGATGATGATAGTATTTTTAATATTGATAAAAAAGAATGGTTGGCTAAAAAACCTAGGAGAATTCCTTTAAAAAAGAGTACTATGTAGAATATAAAAACAAAATATGTATAAAAAAAACAAATATTTTAATATTTAATAAATTATTCATAACGCAGACGAACTTAATTTACATTACGATTAGTCTATGTAGTAATCATTCTTAAATTTATACATCCAGGAATTTACAGCACTACGTTTTGGCCCGCATTAATATGACATGCTACTAATTCTAATTTATTGCGTCATATCAGATATGTCCCAAATAATAATTTAGATAACAGATAAGAAGACAAATCTATATTTAATTTAATCATATGAAAATCTAGCTAAAATTAAACTGCTAGATTTATAATAGCATCATCAATGCTAAGAAGCTTTAAAATTTTATGTTTCATCTCAGGCCAGTCATCCATGTTCCATTTACCTTTCTTAATAGCTTTTTTAATATATATCCGAGTTTTTTCAACATCTACACGATAATAACTAAACCATAAAGGTTATTATTTATTAGTATTCATATTCTTTTTTAAAATAATAATAATAACTGATAATAATAAAATACTTACATTACTTCAGGAAACCAAGATCTCCAGCGTCTTTGATGAAGTAATAAATAAAAAAGTTCAATTTCTGCTATAACTTCTGCTTTTTGTACTAAATACAAGGCACTATCATTATCCTATACAATCGCAATATTAAGAAAACCAATAAATAAATTCATTAAATATATAACAATTAAGAATGAAAATACTGCCATTAGAATGAATAAAATTGTATTTTCAGTTGTTGGCTTTGGTGCCCAAGGTGATAATGAATTTTGATTTCCTAAAATTCAGGTCAAATAAGTTAGTATAAGTTATTTTTATGGTAAATATTAATTAACGTTAACGATTACCTGTTAAAAATAAATATGTCGCAAGAAGAGAGGTAGGATACGAATAAAATAAATTGGTATTTTCGCTAGGAACTTGAATAAGAGTTTCATTTAAGATATTTCCATTTTCATCAACTTGATTATAAGTATTAGAAAGAGTCCAAGGATTATTTAAATCATTTGGATTTTGTGCATTTAACGAATCTAAAAGATTTTCAGGATGTAAAAGTAAAAAAAAAGCATGTGCAAAACTTAAAATAATAATTGCTAATACTACCAAAAAGGAAAATACACGTTTAGCTACTCCAAAGATTATTGCAAAATAAACACCAAAATATTCAAATACTCTAAAGAAAAGTAAAAATTTTAAATCTAATAATAAACAAGAAATTGACAGTGCCCAATATGGTATATCACCATATTTAATCCAACAAATTGATGCAATAGTAGCAGAAAGATAAGCACTTAAGTCTGGGGTTTTTTTAAAAAAAAGTTAGTTTCAAATTAAACCTATTTAAAAAAATAAATTTTATAAGAACACTTACCAAATAAATTCCAAATACTTAAAAAATATTTTCTTGGATTCCAGATAAATTGTCTTAATTCAAATATAAGATGAAAAAATCCAAAAGCAATTGTAGTTTGATAAAGATTAATACGAACTTTTCGAGTTATAGAATTTGTAGGATAAGAAGCAATTGTAAAACACACAAGAAAAACCATAAATATTAACCAAATAGTAAAATAATATATCCTTCCAAATTTTTTCCATTTAAAATTAATAATTGCTTCACCATTCCAATTTAAATAAAATTCTTTTTTACAAGTATTAACAAAAACACTTGATTGAGGATAAAATATTTCCTTCCATGAACTATATTCTGAAGGATAACGAGAATAATCTATATATGGTGTGATAAGAACAATTTGTTGCTTGCGTTGTCTCTCATGTTCAAGAAAGTCAAGAAATTCAGTTCGACTAAAAATTATATATATAATTATAAATGGTAACAATAAAATTAAAATAGTCAGAAATAAAATTATTAGGATTATGAGTATTTTAATGAGTATTTTAATATTTCCAATAACATAGTTAATAGTTGTATCTTCATATATTTTACGAATTTCTACTTCATCGCTAAGAGTATAAAAATGCGAATGATCCCCATCACTGTGAACTCTTTCATCAGAAGGATCTAAAATCATAAACATTTCAGAATTAAATTTTGTTATATAATCAGGATACTTTTTATATAAATCATTCATAGATGATATTATAATATTCAGAAATTTCATATTTCTTTTTGGATTTTCTTTAACAAGGTTTATGCATTTGTTATAAATATCTTCTATATGACAAGTTAATTCTGAATCAGTCGACTTTATTAAATTTGATAATAAAGTTGGTCCATATTTCGCAAGGCATCTTTCGTCTTCGATGATACTAATGATACTTTCTGACAACACTGTGAAATATTGTTTACGGTTAATATTTGTGTCGAGATCTGCTATTTCTGTTGCGATTATCATTGGCAATATACTGTAGGTCCAGAAAAATCTTTAATATTTAGCATTTTCCTTTTGTAAACGAAGTATTGAGTTTTAATACATTTGTTATGGATATCATATTCGTATATTATAATAAAACCATTATAATCAAGTCGTAATGCTAACGCATTATTGTTAAGAATTTTCCAGTTCAACCTCGTAAACTTGGTAAACTTGATACCTAAATCTTTTGAACACAGAAATTCTTTATCTGAATAAACTGAGAGTTTATCAAGTTTGCCGAGTTTATCAAGTTCATCGAGTTCATCAAGTTTATCGAGTTTGTCGAGTTCATTGAGTTTATCAAGTTTATCGAGTTTATCAATTTTCAGTTCTATTCTCCATTTATATTTTTGATTATTGAAGTTTATATCTTTAGTTGCAATATTTTTATTTTCATATTCATGAGAAAATAAAGATCTAACAACCTCTTTCATATTTTTAGATTCAGAAAGTAAAGATCTAATATTTTCCATATCAGGAAAAGCTAAAGTATCATTATAGTAATACTTCTTAAAAGTTTGACACAAGTAATCATTCCAACCAACTAAATCATCATCTTCCTTATGAGATTCAAAAAATTCATGCCAATTTAAATCTAATAAATTAATATATGAAAATTTTCCATCAACTAATCCAAATGCCTTCTTTGATTCTGAATTATATTCATAAAGGATAAACTTATTCTCATTAAAAATCATTGATGCATCTTTGGGTTGTGCGTTGATGTCAGTTATATTATATAAGATTATATTCTGTTTTTCGTCTTTTCTAGGTAAATTAAAAGCCAGAAGATAATCATTATTTTGTACTTCGCAAAATTCTATTTTTGTATCGGTATCTTTTAATTGAATATTTCGAATTGGAAAATGTACATCTTTTAAAAAAATTGCAATTTCATTAATTTCATAGTCCATATATTTTACCGCGATTGAATTTCCTTTAGTTAATACTGTTAATTTACCATGCTCATAATACTTGGCCGTAAACCCAAGTGAATAACTAAATTTCAATTGAAATGTTTCCAAGTCCCAATGAAATAAATAATGTGGAGAAATAACCCATATATTATCATCATCAATAAACACTCCATTTATTACTTTTTTAATATAATCAATTAACTTTCCAGTTATTAATTTGTTACATGATGACAGTTCATAAGATGACATTAAACTTAGCTCATTACTCATATCATGCTTAGAATGATAAATTGATATTTTATCATTATTGAATATTACAAGATTCCCTTCTTTTTTGAAATTAATCTTATATTCTACTAAACTTTCAGGTGGAGGATTAAGTTCAATTTGCTGATGTTCGGTTGACATTTGAAAGATTTCAATATTATCATAAGATGAATAACAGACAATTTTACTATCATTTACTTTAATCTCATAAATATACGTCCATTCTTTTGGTAATTTATAAACATTTGCTTCATGATCTAGTATCGGTTCAGAATTTTCAACAATCCATCCTTCAATTGATTTATCGTCTTCGCTATATGTGACGGCATATTTACCGTTAAGGGATAAAGATACTAAAGATACTTGTTTTCCGTCGTGCGCATTGTGCGGATCGCGTGGGTTGAGTATCGTGTTTGCCATATGAAAAATAATTGTCTTTTTTAATAACAATTTAAAAATCGCATGAATTATATAGCATACAGCAGGTCTACATAGCCCTCGGTTATGCTGATCCAACGTTTATGAGTAGAATAAATAATTTCCGCTCCATATGTATTTACTTTACATAGCCTTATGGATAATACTCGTAATGCCAAATAGCAGCCGGCTTTCAAAAATGATAAATGTCAAATTATCAGGGGCTCAGGGCACATAAAAATTGGAAAAAATAAATATACAAGTTTTTTTTTATTTTTAAGATATAGACTCGACTGGGGCTATACAAGTTTACCATCCAGGTAGTAATGTTATAATGACTATTCATGAAGTCACGTGAAATTTTGTAATATTAATATTGAATATTTAGATAAACAAACAATTAATTGAATTAGTGTTTTATTTATAAAATTATGTTTACACTTACTATTTTTTTTTTTTAAAAAAAAATAGTCATATTAACCATATAAACTGTATATTTTCATATTAATATCGACGACTTGCAGTTCCATTATTACTGAGTAAAAGATAATCTAGGATAGGGAGAACGGGTTATGAGAAAGACATTAGAATATTTAATTACCTAATATTTGTTTTTTTAATTTTAACACGAAAAAAATTTTATCGAATTTTTAATAAAATAATTTCAAAAAATATTTCGATTTATACTTCCGAACTTTTTCAACATTTACCGTTACAATATAATAACTAACTCGTAAAAAAAAGATTTTTTAATTTAAAATATGGAGCATCTTTTTCAAAATACTTACATTATTTCAGGAAACCAAGTTACTTTGATAAGGTGATCTAAATCCTAGATCGTCATATTAAAGTTGAATAGTTGATCAATAAATTAGTTCATTAAATACAAGAATGAAATAATCATATTGTATTTTTAGTTGTTGGTTTTGGTGCCCAGGTGATAATTTCCTAAAATCCAGGTTTATTAAGTTATTATAAGTTATTTATCGTAGAGTAAAAAACAGACAATCTATTTGGTAACCTGTTGTACTATTTAAAATATTACAAAATAAAGTGACCCATAAACTCCCAGGTAAATGATCATCAAAACACTTGCAATGTATACTCTTTTTTGGTATGAAAACTTTGCCCGCGAATTTAAAAAAAAAAAAAGATTATTGGATTTAGGAATAAATCCTAAATCTAAGAGTACAACGCCCACCTTCCTTATGAATCGATGAATTTTATATATTTTTTCATAAATTTCAAAAAAAAATAAAAAAAAAAAATTTTAACGCATGTTACGCAAAATTTCAGATGATGTGGCTGAAATAACAAATAAAAATAATAAATAAATCATGCTTCTAAAATAGATTTTTTTTTCCCATATTAAATTGCGATCCCCCTTATTTTATTATTAAATTATCGAAAAAAAAAAAACTGAAGTAAAAAATTAAAAAATTTTTTTTTTATTGAAAAAAATGACTTTTTTCTGGAATGCAAGAATGACTAATAAAAAAATCCACTCTCATCATATTCTTTTTCTTTTAGGAAACTTTAACTTAATAAAGAAATTTCTTACATTAATTAAAATATTCTAAAAAAATCAAAAAATATTTTCTCATATTGATTGAATTCATGCATCTTGCATTTTTTTTCTTTGATTACCCGATTATCACTCATCTTGTCATAGTATGAAAAAACTTGATACGTTTTGTATTTCCTGCGCATTGTCCTACAATTCTTTTAAAAGTAAATCATGCTATTTCTTTCTTTTTTTTGGTTGGAGAAAAATTGCCATTCTGTTTGAATATAGATTGGGTTTCTGCTCCATTTGGATCATAAATAAAAAAAAAAAATTTTTTTGTATATATCAAAGAATCGAAATTTTTTGTTTGTATAAATAAAATTATCTGATACTTTTTTTGGAAAAAATCATCTTATCATAATTTAATGATATGTGGCAGTGCTAAACCCGTTGTAAAAAAAATGCTAAGCATGAGGTGAAAATATTTTTTTTCTTTCTTTCATACAACTAACCTGCTTTTTACTTGTAAGTTATATGAGTTTGGCCCATTTTAAGAATTATTTCTTTTTTTTTTCTATTTGATATTATATAATTTTATTTTCATGGATAAATAACATGAAAAAAATTTCTTTTTATTTCGTAAAAAATTTTTTTTATGAAATTTTCATATATCTCTATAAGGGGGAAAATGGTTTGATTTTAAAAAAAAAATGGTGAAAATAGTGTGATCATTGTGAAGCCACTTTTTTTTCATGAGAAAAAAATTCAGATTACTTCAGATTGCATTTTTTCAAAAAAAAAAAGAATTTGAAAAGGGTATATTTTACCATTCAATTATTCACTTCGCTAACAAAATTTCCACTATGCCTGCTAAAATCTCAACTATTACCTACGTACTGTACATGATTCTACAGAACGTCTGACTTAAGATTACATGGTCAAAGAAATCATAGCAGTTTTAAGAACTGATGATAATGATGCGACCAAGGTTATTTATCTCAAGACTTTTATTCCATCTGATTGAAATATATCAACCAAATTGACAATTTTGAGACGTCATATTTTTAAAAAGAAAGTTTGTGGGATGTTCTGGGTGGTACTTTGTAAGTACTAAAATTTTCAATTTGTGAATGATTATCTCTTCATTTGCTGATTTCGCCTCGTAGCAATGAAGATATATGGTGACAGGAACTTCCTCTTATGCAGAAGAACGGAAAGTATTTTCTCAGGTAAAGGAGAGAAGAAAAGGAAACCTAATAATAGGTTTCTTACATGCTTCATAGGTAGGGACTCTTAAATTGTGAATGTTTGGGTTGAAGGACAAGAAAATGTTGGGTATGTGTTGTTGTAAAGGGTAAGTAATCGATGGTCATGATGTACAGTATTCAAGAAGCTTTTTCAGGAATTTTATTGAATTTACATCTTAAATATAATAATAATAACTCTAGTATTATAATTGTCTATTGCTTACAACCTTTATTTCTATTATTTTTCAAATTTTATTTTCGATTTGTTTCATAAAAACTTATTATAACATATTATCATATATACTTCATTTTATTACATAAAATCCCTAATAAATTAAAATAAATGGACTAATTTGTATACGTTTGCCTAACAATCTGCATAGACCTATTCAAATAATGCACTACCTCTAACGTAACTGATCCACTTTATTTATTAATACTTTCATATTAAATTTTCGTAAAAATTCCTCTACCATCATACCTCCCTAGTGTAACGTGGCGTGGGTACTGGTGATAAAATACTGGCTGGTAAATATTAATTAGGTACTTGTTAAAAATAAATATTTCAAGAAAAGAGGTGGGATATGAATAAAAATCTAAAAAATTCTGAGGATGTAATTTCCCATTCAAAATTAATAACCCACTTCATCATTCTAATTTGTATAAATTCTTTTCTGCAAGTATTAATAAAAACACTCGATTGAGAATTTCCATAAACTATATTTTAAAAATAAGAATAATTTATATAAGGTACAAATAAGACTAATACATTTTATCGGTTATCAAGTAAGATTAATCTAACAAAAATCAATCATATAAATATTGAAAGAGTTTAAAAGTATTTAAGAATTTCGAATATTTGGTTATTTTCTCTTTGGCTAAACTTAGAAAAATGTGAAATATACGTATAATGGCCAATGTTGTCATTAGAGGGATCTAAAACCATAACAAAGCTTGTGCATTGATATTGACAGTATCTTTTATATACCGAGTTGATCCTGAATCTTGACGACTTAATTAAAAGTCGATCCATATTTCGCAAAATGCCTATCATATGAATTGTATCTATCATTGGTATTAGTAAGTCCAGAAAAGTCTTTTATATTCATGATTCCAAATCATTTGATTTTAATTACTCATATTAATGATACCATATTCATATATTGTTATAGAGTAATCATCTTGTAATGCTAGTTCATTATTATTTTAAGAATTTTCCGGTTCAGTTTTCTCATTATTTTAGATACTGTATATCTCTTGAACACAATAATGCTTCTTCATTTGTATAAAAAAGTTTATCGTTTCTAGGTCTATTCTTTATTTATGCTTTTGATTATTGAAGCTTATAAGTATAACTGTAACGTTATTAATATTTTCACGCTCATTAGAAATTAAAGATCTAATATTTTCCATATCAGGAAAGGTCAAAGTATCATTATAATAATTCTTCTCATACAAATAATAATTCCAACTAACATCTCTAATTCATGCCATTTTATTATAAATTAATATATGGAAATTTCTATTAACTATTTCAAATGCTTCCATTGATTCTGAATTATATTCATAAAGAAAAAAATTACTCTTGGAGTCGTTCTCGGTGTCTTCATCGTTAAAAATTATTGATACATCTATAAATAATTTATAAAGGTTATATTCTGCTTTTCGTCTTTTTCAGATAAAATTAAATAAACATTATTTTGTACTTCGCACAATTCTACTTTTATATTAGTACCTTCTAATCAAATATTTCCAATTGGAAAGTGTATAACCCTTTTGAAAAAAATTGCAATTTAATCATAATATTTTACCACGATTGAATTTCCTCGTCATAAACCCAAGAGAATAACAAATTGACATGTATCTGAATTCTGATGAAATAAATAGTTTGAATAAACAACCCAAATATTATTATCTACATCAAAAACTCCTCTTCCGTAATGCGATAGCTTATAGAATAAGCTGATATTTTACGAGTGTAAAATATTTATAAGTTTATATTTGATACAGATCCTAACCCACCACACTTCAGTTAAGTTTAACTTGTTGATATATTTGAAAGATTTCAACATAATCATAATTATGTTTTTTATACATAAAACAAACAATTTTACTATCTTATACTTGAATCTGTATATTCCCATTCTTATGTGATGACGTATGTGCCTAGGAGAGTGCTAGGAGATAAAGATACTAAAAACACTCGTTTTCCATTGTGCGCATTGTGCGAGTCGCGTGGATCGTGTGGAACAATGGTAACGTGATGATTTACAGTATTTACCGATGTGTATAGTCCAAGCCCTAATCCAACGTTTAACGAGTAAAGCAAATTCCTTTTAATATAATACTGTCCCAAATGCACAGTATGTACAGTACAAAGCCCTCCATATTTTTGTGGATAATACTATATTTAGATTACCCCCATAAATTAATTTGACTGTAACGTGTAGCATGTTTCCGTCAAATTTATTACGGATTGCATTATGTCATGTATAATTTTAATCGATGTAGTAGATTGGTGTCGGTAATGTATCACTTTCGCTAAAAATGATTTGATTATCATAATTTTATCACTGAAATATGATAAATTTAATAAAATTTAAAGACTTTTTTTGTTCATGCTACAACTTATTTACAGAATTTGTACACAATTTACAACTTACTATATGACTTAAGTTCAGTCTTTGATCCCGATGCGAAGCGACAGACTGTTGCTAGTTTACAAATTATAAATAAAAAAAATAAAAATAAAAATTTATCGTCCGGGCCGACGGGTCGAATTCAAATTTTAATCAATTTTATACACCACTAACATCCTTTTCCTACACAACATCCTATATAAGGCTCTTCGAAAAAAAAATGACCAGAAGCTGAAGGTTATGTCAAAAAAAATTGATAATAAGAAATAATTTTACACAATAATTCAAGTAAAATTCAACGTCATACCAACATTGGCCTCTTCATAATATATTATACTTTAAAAAGTTGAAGGATAAGGAGATGTGGTTTAAAAACCTATCGGCTAAAAAAATTACTAATACTACAAAAAATATTATAAGTTTATATACTATTCAAAATCCTAAGTGCTTTTAGTTAAAAAATGTTAAAAAAGTTCCAGTCACATTGTTGGAGACCATCTTTACCATTGTGGTTAGAAAATTTCTCCTCCATTTGTTATGCTAATGCACACATAGTTAGATACGAGTCAAATGGCAAAAAAAAAACCTTAATCTGATCCAAAAACTTACGGAAACTTGTTAAGAAAAACGTGAAAAAAAAGAAATCCACAAAATTTGGGATTGAAGTGGTCAATGAGCAGGTTGTTTCAAATATCGTTATAAATAATTTGGTTAAGTCAATAAGAGTGAAATGTGAAGAAGCTATTGAAATATAAAAATTAAATCATGAGTTATCACGTTCTTAAATAATCAAGTGATATGACCGTTGGTCGTTGATTAAAGCAATTTTTTCCAAAAAATTTGCTCATCGTGGTATAATATTTTAATAAATTATTATGTTTTTATATTTTATTAGTCTTTTGATTCAGTATTGATAAGTACTGTATTGCTGAGATTAACACCAAAATTGATTACGCTGCGCATGTAAAAAAATTAAACTGCTAGATCTATAATAACATCTTCGATGCTAAGAAGCTTTAAAATTTTATGTTTCATTTCAGGCCAATCATCCATTTTCCATTCACCTTTTATGATTGCTTCTCTAATGTATTTTCGAGCTTTCTCAACTTCTACAGTATAATAACTAAACCATAAAAAGTTATTATTAATCAGTATTCATTTTTCTTTTTTTTCGAAAATAAATAAGTAAATAAATAAAATACTTACATTACTTCAGGAAACCAAGTTTTCCAACGTCTTTGATGAGGTAACAAATAAAAAAGTTCGATTTCTGCTATAACTTCTGCTTTTTGTACTAAATATGAAGCTCTATCATTATCCTTTTCAATTGCCATATTAAGTAAACCAATAAATAAATTCATTAAATATATAACAATTAAGAATGAAAATACTGCCATTAAAATAAATTTCCAATAGATGTTGGATCAGGTGACCAAGGTGAAAATGAATTTTGGCTACCTAAAAATTATTTGTTATACATGTTTATATATTAGTATAAATTACAATATTTTAATTGTAAATATTAATTAATGTTAACAGTTACCTGTTAAAAATAAATAAGTTGCAAGAAGAGAAGTGGAATATGAATAAAATAAATTTGTATTTTCACCAGGTACTTGAATAAGGGTTTCATTTAATATTTTTCCATTTTCATCAGTTTGATTATAAGTATTAGAAAGAGTCCAAGGATTATTTGAATCATTTGGATTTTGTGCCTTTAACGAATCTAATAGCTTTTCAGGATGTAAAAGTAAAAAAAAAGCATGTGCAAAACTTAAAATAATAATTGCCAATACTACCAAAAAGGAAAATACACGTTTAGCTACTCCAAAAATTATTGCAAAATAAACACCAAATGATTCAAATATTTTAAAGAAAAGTAAAAATTTTAAATCTAATAATAAACATGAAATTGATAGTGCCCATTCGGGTGTAACAACTGTAACATCATTTTTAATATAATAAATTGATGTAATAGTAACGGAAAGATACGCACTTATATCTGGTTTTTTTTTTAAGAAAGTTAGTTCAAATTTAATAAACTTTAAAAAATAAGTCTTAAAAATACGCTTACCAAATAAATTCCAAATACTTGAAAAATATTTTTTTGGATTCCAGATAAATTGTCTTAATTCAAATATAATATGAAAAAATCCAAATGCAATCGAAGTTTGATAAAGATTAATACGAACATCTCGAGTTATAGAAAGTGTAGGATAAGAAGCAACTGTGAAACATACAAGAAAAACCATAAATAATAGCCAAATAACAAAATAATATATCCTTCCAAATGTATTCCATTTAAAATTAATAATTGCTTCACCATTCCAACTCGTATAAAATTCTTTTTTACAAGTATCAGTAAAAACACTCGATTGAGGATAAAATATTTCTTTCCACCCACTATATTCAAATGGATAATAACAATAATCTATATAGGGCACAATAAGAACAATTTGTTGTTTGCGTTGTTTAGATTGATCGCGTTGAAATATTAGAAATAGTTGAAATATTACTAATTTAATTAATTTAATTGTATATTTTCGATATGTTATAAAAATATATATTAAAAATAAAATAATTAAAATAATTGTAAATGGTAAAAATAATAACGATATTAAAATCAATAAAATTTTAAAATTTAATTCATATTGTATAAGTTGTTTACCAATTTTTATTTCTTGGCAAAAAGGATAAAAATGTGAATAATCATTATCGTCAATTTTTTCATTAAAAGGGTCTAATAACATAAACATTTCAGAATTGAATTTTGTTATGTGATCAGGATATTTTTTATGTAAATCATTCATAGAGGAAGTTATAATATTGAGAAATTTCAGATTTCTTTTTGGATCTTCTTTAACAAGTTTCATGCATTTGTTATAAATATCTTTTATATAACGAGTTAATTCTGGATCAGACGACTTTATTAAATTTGGTAATAAAGTTGGTCCATATTTCGCAAGGCATCTTTCATCTTCAATGATACTGCTAATGATTTCAATTAAGAAATCTTTTTTTACATCACTCATTATCGGTAATATAGGTCCAGAAAATTCTTTGACTTTTAGTCCACTATTTCGGCGAAATTTATATTGAATTTTAATACTCTCCTTATTGTTATTATATTCAAATATTTTTATAGTCTTATTATCTAGTAATGCTAATGCATTATTATTAAGGATTTTCCATTTCAGTTCCTGAAATTTCGAAGAGTTCTGTTTTTTAAAAATATTTATTGAACACAATTCTTTTTCATCCATATAAACTAAGAGTTTATTGGTTGTCTGACTTATTTTCCATTTATATTTTTGATTATCAAAGTTTATTTGTTGAATATTTTTATGTTCTTTAGAAAATAAAGATCTAATACTTTCCATATCAGGAAAAGCTAAGGTATCATTACAATAATTCTTTTCGAAAGCCGTCTGACACAAGTAATTATTCCAACCGATAAAATCATCTTCTCCCTTATGAGATTCATAAAAATCATGCCAATTTAAATCTGATAAATTGATGCATGAAATTTTTCCATCAACTAGTCCAAATGCTTTCTTTGATCCTGAATTATATTCACAAAGAATAAACTTATTCTTGTAGTCGTTCTCAGAGTTTTCATCATTAAACATCCTTGATGCATCTACGGGTTGTTTATTGGTATCAATTATATCATATATATCAGTTATATCATATATTATATTTATTGTGTATTTTTCAGGTGAATTAAAAGCTAAAAGGTAAACATTATTTTGTACTTCGCACAATTCTATCTTCATATCAGAATTTATTAATCAAATGTTACGAATTGGAAAATGTACACCTTTTGAAAAGATTGCAATTTCATCATAATGTTTCACCAAAATATAATTTCCTTTAGACATTACCGTCAACTTGTTATTAGTTTTACTATGAGTTGCCGTAAACCCAAGCGAATAACTAAATTTCAATCGTGATGTTTCTAAATCCCAATGAAATAAATAATTTGAAGAAATAGCCCATACATTATTATCCTCATCAATAAAATTTCCTTTGTTATTTGATATTTCACAAGATGACATTAAAATTAGCTCATCGTTTATTTCATCATGTGGAGAATAAATTAATATTTTAAAAGAGGTATTTATTACAAGATTGCCATTTTTTTGGAAAAAAATTGTAGGTTGCCACTTTTTAAGTTTTGGATTAAGTTTAAATGGACGATGTTCATTTGAAATTTGAAAGATTTCTACACAAACTTCATGATTCCTTCTACACAAAAAACAAACAATTTTACTATCATTTACTTTAATCATAAAAATTTTCTTTGATTCTTCTGGTACATTTACTTGAGAATCTGGGATCAGTTTAGAATTATCTACAATCCATCCTTCAATTGATTTATCATCTTCGCTATATGTGACGATATATGTACCGTTAGGAGATAATGATACTAAAGATATTTGTTTTCCATTGTGCGCGTGGTGCGGATCACGTGAGTTGTGTGACACTATTTCATTGACATCATCTGATATTTGAATAGTATTTTCTTCGCTCATTATTTTAAGAGATAATTTGTTATAAAAAAAACCATGAAAAAAAGGGAATATCGTAAGAATAAATAATAAAAAAAAATACATCTCAATCGACATGCGAATCTTATTCATTTACTGTATGAATGACATCTCATTGTTACATTGCAGAGCCCTTTATAAGATCGCCTTTTTTGGTTTATACTGATTCATAAGTAAGGTAGTAATATTAGTCTAATTTTGTCCATGTACCTAACCATATGGTATATATATATACAGTACAGTACCCCCACTACCTCATCAAATGTAACGAAACAGTTTTTTTGAGCCTTAGCTTCTTGCAAATGTTTCCATGATAACTACAAGAAGTAATGAGAAAGCTTTATTAAATGATCATTTAATTTTATACGTTTAATTACATGCCCATGTGTCCTTAAAAATAGTTACAGTCTAACTGCAAATATATCTATTGAGAATTTATAGAATTAAAGTTGGAACATATGATGTCATATGAACATACATATATTATTTCGTTTGAAAAATCGCAGAGATAATTCCGGTCATGTTGATTCTTATCAATTACGGTAATTATACAATTAGCTTTTGTGGGTGATCCGGGATTTACTGACACCTCCTCATTATCCTGACAAATATTGTCCTCCTGATAATCATTAATATAAAAATTTTAAAAAAAGCTTTTTAAAGATTAATAATTAATCATAAATTTTTTTTCGAAGTATTGTTAAAACTTATTACATATTAATAAAAAATATTAATTTTTAAAATAAAAACATTAATTCTTGTGAAGTATTATTAAAATTATTAAATATTATCATCCTAGGATCATGCTTTTTCATCGTGCTGATATTTTTTCATTAAACTATAAATAAACTAAGCTATAAATAAACTACAATTGCATAATTATTATTGCACTAAATAACATGTAAAAGGTAAAATGACGCGTCACTTTAAACCGGAAATAGCTTAATATCGCAGTTCGGTGATATTCTAACCCCCCTATCCATAATAAAAACGTTAATTTTTAAAATAAAAACATTAATCCCCTGTCGCACTTAAGTGTAACTCATGATTTCCTTCATACTAATTTTTGAAAATTGCGAGTGATTGGCCGAGTTTATAAAAACTTTAATGTTGTTCAATATCAATAGAGTTCATCTATTTTCCCAACCATTGATTCTGATGTTTCTTCAAACCATTCTCCAAATCTGAGTTAATTTGAATATATGTCAGCCTTATAGTACAAGTTATTCGTTTGCAACGTACTACTAGCTATAGCAACTTCTCCTCGTGGTTATTCATTCTTCTTGATTGCCATTGTTTAATTCTTCATGCTGTCAATATAATAAAAGATCGTTAAAAAATTATCGTTATGAAAATTCAAGGTAACATTTTTATACCATAACTACTTCATCTTCAGGTAATGAATTACCTTACATTAATTGCGTCAAATTCAGAAAAGTTAGAACAAAGGAATTATCTGGCATCACTTATATAGCATGTGAAAGAAAACAATCCTGCTTACAAGCGTCTGATTTTTTTAACGAATAACGAACAAATATGTTCTGCGCAATTTTCTATATTTTGCCTATAACTACAGAGCGTCGGCGCACAAAATCTATTTAAATTTTGCCAGATTTTCTGAAAGGTTTTTGAAAAATCTGGTAAAATTTTTTAAATCTTGAATGATTTCGGACATTTTACTGCAGATTTCAGTATTTTTCAGAAGATTTCTGGAATTTTCTAAAAACTTTTTGTGCGCTGCAGAGCGTACGCAAATTAATATAATATAAATCACTTTCACTTAATAACGATAAACCCTTACGTTTTTGATTTCCTACAAAGAAGTAGATAGGTTAATTAATCAGAATATGTAAGGAACGCGCTCACAAAGAAAGCGACTTCCAGGTTTTCAATTTGACACCACGAGTAACCGGGAGGAAGCAGAATCCTTAAGCTGTACTACGTTGCCAGAAAATTGAAAAATTTTACTAGTTCAAAAGGATTACACATAATAGAGATGGATATTTAATGATGACAAAATTGTCACAAAATTTGGTAATTAAGCATGCGTATCCACATAATTTAACAGTTAATGTTGCGTTCAAAAAAGATTTATTCACTATATATATTTAAGCTATTCTAAATAAGCATTATTATAAAAATACAAAATATGTGTATTAGAAAACTGAATTAGAATCATGACGACGTTATTTTTTTGAAGGTGACAAAGGATATTTTCTTGCCTTTAATATTTTGTTCTTTCCAAATTTTATTTGAAATATCTCTTAACTTTCTAATATCTTCATTTTTACTTATTCTTTCTAAAATAGATTTCATTTCTACATTCAAGCGTTTGGTATTTTCTCCAATTTCATCAAGTACGTTGTCAGATATTCGTTTTATACTCTCATTCTATTTCATTTAAATTTGCAAGTAAATTTGTAGATAATGTAATATGCTCTTGTTTCCAGATTGCTGCGTGATGATTTAATGATGAATTTATAGGCGAAGTTGTTTTTTTAGGATCATGAGATGGTGCTATCTCGAGATTATTAAGTGTTTTTTTTATGATCATTAGGTATTGATGTTTCAGGATTATGGAGAGAATCAATCCTTGTTGTTGTGATAGTAATAATGGTGTTTCATAACTATGAAACATATGTAGTCCAAAACTCCAAATAATTTCGACACAGATAAAAAGAGAGAACGTGTAAAAAAAAAAATTCGATAGTAAAAGAATTACGTTACTTTACATTATATTATATAATGACATGAGTGATGTATGGATCGGATCATGCGGATCACGTGTCATTATAATTATTAGTGAAAAAATGTGATTAAAAAACATGAATACTACGAATTTAAGTCAACAAGGATCAATCAAACCCCGTTTTGGTTCAGAATTAGATATATCAGTATTACCTATTGGTAAAGCGAATTAGTGATGGTGTTTTAGGAATTTATGGAGAATATCTTGTGATGGTAATAGGGATATTTCATTATTTTGATGAAAATGTACTCTAAAATAAATAATAAAAATTAATTTTTATATCTAACTTATTTTAATATTATATTGATATACTCCCTATGTATTTACTACTTCATCCTTTGTTAGTAACGAAATATATATGGCAAATTTTGATAATCAAAAGCGTAGTAATATTTAGGATGAGGTGGCTGTAATCACAACCAATTAATCCAAATGATCGATGCTTCTAATTTATTTACATGCACCACCTCGAGATAAAAAATATATACATTGACAAGTAATATTAGGAAGTAATTGAATAATTGAATAATGTATATATTGGTTTAACCATTAATTCTACTTAAATTATTTCACAAATCCGCTTGGCAGCTTCATCACGACTAGGATCTGGCGTGTAATATACTAATTGACCATAATGATTTCAAGTTGAATTCTTTTTTTAGAAAGTATATTTTGAGTACTACTTTTAATTAAGATTACACTTAAATAACTTAAATATCAAACCGTAAAAGATGTTCATATTTCTGTAATTGGCAAACCCTTAATTCACTGTTAAAAGATTTAAGGCAATTATTTGTTTTTGGAATTTGTTCTAATGGCACTTGTAATAAATCGGCAGCAATAATTCTTTCATATGTACACCATCTAGAAGCCAAATCTCCACACCAGTAATCATGAATATAATAAACAAAATCCAATGCACCTTTAATAATTATTGATAGCTTTAGGATTTATTTTTTCTTGAATTAAATTATTCTATAAATTAGTATTCACAATCATGAAATGTCATGCAAAATTTTTATGCGAAAAAAAATAAATTAAATCACAAAACATACCTTTAAAAAATATTCTGTATCTGTTATTACATGTTAAAGTTTTTTTCAAACGTAAAAAAGAAATAAATGAAACAAATTCACAATCTCTTTCTTATCTTTATAACGTAGTATTAATTCTTTTAATATTGAAATGATTATAACTATTACTAGCGCTGAAAATAATAAATACCCTATTAGGAATTACTTTTTTTGATCATCCAATACAAGTAACAAATAAAAGAATTTTTTTTATTTGATATACCGAATGTTTCCATCCAGATGTAAAAATCTGCTGATGTCCAAATTTCCAAACTAGATCTCTTTGATTTTTTGTCGCTAAACCGATTATTTAACTTTTCTTGGTTTGTAATATATAGTTGCTTCTATTCACTATCTTTACTATTTGATAAAAATTCATCTATATTAATTTCCTATGCTTTGTGTTTATCCACAAACTTCTTTATATATATATATATATATGTCATATATTTATTAAAAATCTTGATTTGATAATAAAACCTTACATTATTAATTATAACTTTTCCATTTAAATGTTTCGCTACATAGCCCATATAATATTATCTGTGAAGGATTAGCATGAAGTTGTAATAAAATTTTGTGGCATTCTTTTTCTGTTTCATTAAGGTGAAGAGGTGGAGGTTGGTAAACAACGCTGACAGACCTCTAGATGTTTAAGATAACTAAAAATACTTATACAATTATTATTTTTTTTTCTTAATCCATGCAAATGCGAGATACTCAACAAATTTATACATTTGCCGTTTTTGTTTCTGGATTAGATTTTTTAAACTCATATCACTTCCACAACAACACTGTAAAACAATAAATTCCCTTTATTTTTAATGCTACTGTAGAAGGTGTTTTCCATTTGTGTTCTGGTAATCTGGTTGAATATTTTTAAGAATAAAGTTATACTCGCTTAAAGAAAAATAGCAATACTTTGTGATTCCCAGTTTAAATTATTAAATTCAGAAGCTGAAGAGAACAAATTTGTTCTTTTTGATTTTGATTTAAAATAAGGTACGAAGGAGATTTTATTATATCTATAACGATCTATTGGTGTTATTAAAAAAAAATGTTTCGCTATGTTTTTTATCAATAATAATATAAAAAAATGTTGCAACCCATTTTTTTTTAAGTGTTTTAATATAAAAAAATGTTGCAAAACACGTTTTTGATTTATGAATTTTACCGATAAAAAACGGTTTTTAACGTTTTTTATTTGATTTTTATAAAAATAATCAGATCAGATCAGATCCGTTCGGAACACTAGGTTCTGACTGTATATTTTAAAATAAAATTACTATTATAATTTTTTAATAGTAATTTTAATATAATTATTAGAATATATTAATTTACTACTATCTTTCTTGTAAAAAATATCTATAATTTTTTAATTTAATATTATATTATTTATTAAAAATGCATTCATTTTTTAAAACATTGCTTTTCTATAAATTTTATACGAAAAAAAAAATTTTTTTATTATAAGGTATGTAATATATCAATGAAGGATATGTTTAATGTTTATTTTAAACTAATATCAGTAATATGTAATGATGAATATGTAATTTATAAAACCAAAATAAAATGAAATTGTAAGAATTTTTAAGATTTTAAATTACCATACAAAAATCTGTAGATAATTTTAATTTTATGTGCAAAAGAAATTTTTTTATACTTCTAATAATGAAAATAATTTTCTAGAATTTCATTGGTTTATATCCAGGAATCATGTAATAACTAATTAGTTCCTCATATAGATCTTCCGAAAGAATCTTCCTGTATGGTCGTACACTTTTAGTAAACTGATCAGAAGAAAATTGGAAAAACTGGATCAACGGAAGTATATTCTTAAGAGTCATGGAAAATGCTTCAACTTCTTTAGGGGACCAAACTTTAGGATCTGGATTTAATGAAGGATGTTTGGCCAATCCCCATTTGAGAATCCTATTCCAAATCTCAATTTCATCTAACTTGAGTTTGTGACTCTTAAGTAGTTCTATCAAAACTGCTTCTTTGATTTCACAAAAATCATCTGATAAAAACTTTTCCAACATATTCATGGTAGCATTGGTGCAAAAATCCACTAAAATTCCATGTTGTTGACTTGTATGATGTACCAATTCAAAGTTTTCATGTAACCACTTACGATGTTGTTTTATTAGTTGCGATTCTAAATAGCTAACAACTTCTTCAAAGTCAAATTTTATGGCTGCAAGAAGAAGATCAAAAATTTCCGAAGGTTCATTATCCATGGAGATATAACCACTGTAAATATATCTTATTGACGTAAAACGAATTAATAATAAATTAATAAATTAGCAACAAAACTTAATTCAATTAAAAGTAAACTCACTTGAGCAAAACCTCAAATGTCTTTGATGAAATACCAGAAATCTCAATTACGTGGAGTATTCCTTTATCCAAGATTTTACGAAAAAAAGTAGAACGTGCATAAAGAATAGATGCATGTGCTTCAAATTTCTTATTTGGACATGATCCGACATCGATGGTCACATCACAAAATTTTTTTTGTTCATAGAAAGTAGCAAAGTCTTGACAAAGTTTTTCACAAAATCGATTTGATATTAATTTCCTAATATTGGATATAAAAGGTATTTGTTAGCCCTTGAAATGAAAAGTGCCAATAATATCATTTATATTACGCAACCTTTTAGTTATTTTTTGTCGAACAATATTACGGTATGCCAAATCATTAATTATGGCTATTTTTTCATTTGTTAAAGTACCAAATAATCCTCTAAAAAAAAATTTAAACAAGCGGTAAGTATTAATATTTAATCACATAAGATATAAGGAATTTTACGTACTCAGATAAGACATCCTTAAACTTGAGAACTGTAGATTTGATATCCAAACATTGTTGAATAATAACACTACTTATACTCGATTTTTTTGAGGCAATAGTATTTAATTGTTCTTCATATGCATTTACCTCGACCAAAATTTGATTGAATCTCTCACTTTTACTAGCATCATCCTCTTCATAATTGGATATTTCATTCGTTAAACGTATTATTTCACGTTGAACAAGGAAAATTATTAATTGTATTGACATCGGATCACTGGCAGGAATTTGACTTGGTAATGATTCGAATATGTAATCCTCTTTGCCTTCTTTTAAATCTTTCAAGATTTTGACTTCCTTATTCTCCACATTGGAAGCATCATCGTTGAGAATAAGCACTGCAACACCTTCATCATCAAAATTTGCAGGCTGTGGGGTTTCATCACCAATTTTAACATACAAAGTTTTATAACTTGATTCCAACAACTGTAGTGTTGTCTTCATTTTATCTACAATCTCATCAGAAGATCTAATATACAGAAAGTTACCTTCCTTCCTACCACATTTTGTTAACCATGAAAGAAGCTCTATTAAATAAGAATAATAGTTGAATAAGTGATCACATGGATGATTATAATATTATACTCAAGTATAAATACTTACTTGCATCATGTTCATTTGTGAATCCAATGGAATGAACTTCGGTAGAATATGAAGCTTCCTTTAAAGCAGTTTTCAACCCGGTCTTTGCATATTCAAGGTTATTTCTTGTATCTGTATCTTGACCATCAGTAAAAAAGATAATGGCCAAATCGGTATTAATTCTATCAAGATTTTCGATGATTGAACTGAAAGCGGCTGAGAAACTTGTACCTAAGATTCATAAATATAAAAAATGTTTAAATGAAAATTCATTAAAACATTGATTAAAATTTAATGACGACATAGTTACCTCCACCAGAGCGTACATCCTCAAAGTATCTTTTTATTCCGCCATTTGCCCAAAGCATGCCCGGATGATCTCTGAATCTAATCTCTTGACAAAATGACTGAAAAAAGAAACATGTAATATCTTTTTCAGCAAGAACCTTTCTTTCTATTAATCCTCCCATAATCTGTAAAATAGCATCTTTTGCTTGACGTATTGGCGAACCTGACATAGAACCTATAATTACCGAATTAGATTAATATAAGAAAAAAATAAAAATCAACAAAAGTCGACGAGAACAGAAAGATAAAGCAAAAAAAAAAAGTAAATATGAAGTACCTGAAATATCCAGGCATATGAAGAGTGAAAGAGCACGATTTTCATTATCAAGCACTGCTTGAGGAATCTTGAGAGATAATACAGTTTTTCCTTTAGTGTAATTGTAATATTGAACACTCATATTTAGTAAATTGTTGATGGTAAAGAGATAAAAAATGTATAGCCATTAGGAATGTTCGAATTGCTTGGTGTTTTATAAGATTAGCTATTAATTATTCGTTAAATTATCAATTATAAAGTGTGTAACCGTAATATTTCGAAGACCACTACTAATAAGTCAACAAGTCAACATATTATACTTCAAAACTGGATAATCCGAACATGAATTACAGATAGATGATGACAATATGTATCATGTTTTGTTTATTTGACATATGAAACACGAATGAGTTATTTAAATTTTTACTGTTCTTACTGCTTAAAGTACAAGTATCGCAAGAGTATTTTCCAAAAAGATCATTGTACAATGACTAAAGGATTATTCATCACGTGATATGTTGTGTGAGCTAATTAAGACGTGATGATGATCAACCAGAAAAATTTTGATTGGCCTCAAATGATAGTTGGTGTGTCGGTTCGAAATCGGTTCGAACTTCGAACGGTTTTTATGATTAAAAGTAGTTTTAAGCCCAAGAGATCTAGAATCTTTTAAATTTAAGATCGGTTCCAGAATCGACTCGAGTCGACTCATTTTGAACCGATTCCATCCCTACGGACAACATTATATGCTATTGCAAAGTCTTATAAAGTTATAGTAGGGTTTATGAGAAATTTCACTTCACTTGCCGAAATAGACCTTTCTAAAGTTGTGATACATTCCTGGGAATTACACAATTATTTCGTGGAGATTGCTAGAAAATCTCTGTAATCTCCCATGAATTACTAATATTTCATTAAAAATTCTCTTTTTAACATCTGCACCTCTCCGTAAGGCAGAAAAGTTATAAATATTTAATTAAGAATATAGTGTCATTCATTAATGTATCTCATACAATTATAAAAAAAACCAGATTTTTTTTTTATATCTTTATTTAACAAAACGTTATTAAACGTTCATTTTGTAGGTATTGATATCAGTCCTCAGGTTTGGATTGGTAAGTTTTGAAGCGTTCTTCGAAACTTTTTTTAAATGAATTTTTTTAAAATTTTATTTAAACTTTTTTATTTTTTTTGTAGGTGTCGGCTTTCGGTTATTTAGCTTTGGATCGGTAAGTTTTGAAACGAGAGTTTTGAAACTACTTTTTTTAAATATTTTTTTTTTAAGAAATTCTTATTAATTTTTTTTTTTTCTTTTTTTGTAGGTATCAGCATCAGTTCTTGCTTTCTTGGATTGAAGATTTTAATCAGTAAGTTTCAAAATGTTCGGATAGTTTTGACCGGATTGGCCGGATTAATCAGATATTAACTGTTCAAAAAAATTTTTTTTTCTTAAAAAAAAAAAGTTTTTTTATATCTTTCAGTATTATCTAAGATAATGTTAAATTAATCGGTTATTTAGATAATTCTAAGTCCTCTTCGAAATGTCAATATGCTTATTACTAGGGAATTGTAACGTGATATTATTAATTCTACATAAATTTTAATATAGATTTCTTTCAAATTCGGGGATAAGCACAGCTGTATAATTATGGGAACTAATGTCTAATCCATTCATGCGTTTAAAAAGATTTAAGACGAATATCATAGATTATGAAGAAAAAAAGTTGATTTTTAATCATAATTGGACTTTACCTCGTAGGAATAATACGTAACAATTTTTCTTGTAAAGAAACCTAAGTTAGGTAAACGAGAAATTTTAATCGTATCGTAAAGATCATTGCAACAATTGCTTGTCTATAATACGTTTACATGAGAACTTCTTGCATTGTAGTTGATTGGTTACTCAGCTTTTTGGTATTTTATATCGTAATATAAACTAACTCCAGAAAGTACTTTACTAGAATAAAAATGTTTATTTTTAATGAAGGTGAAATTTATTTTCTAAAAAACTTATCGATTTCTCTTGAAAGGAAACGAATTTTCACTTTTGTAATATTAATATTTTTCTTAAACGGAATTATTTAATATAATTTCAAATTATTACTATTTCTGCATTTATTAAAAAAAAATTAAAATTTTATCTTTCTCCTGCAGATGCTGTAAGTGCTGAAAATTCTTAAAATCTTTTTTTGTTGAAAAGTATTTTGAAGAATCTACTGAATTACAATCCGTACTGATTTAACAAATCTTTTAAGTTTTAGATCATTTAAAAATAAATTTGGATATTGACCGTTGAAACAAAAAAATATCTTCCCTTTTGAAACTAAACAACCTTTAGTCACACTATGTTCTAGCATAATAATAAATTTATTGGATAGCCCGTCAAATTATGTGATTTATGTCACGTATACGATCCTCTTATGCTCAACGTCTACCGTTTAGTCAGCAAACGAATTATTATTAAAAAGTTACCATATTCCGTATAGGAAGCTTTGCCCACTTTAACAATAAAGCAAAGTATAAATAATTTATTTACAATTTTACAACTAATCCTTATTAAATAGAATAATATTAATTGTGATTATATTATAAATTAAAAATTATTCAAAATAAATTACAAAAAAAAGACAAAGTTATTAGTTATTATTAAAAACTACATGAAAATAAAATAATTCTTTAAAAGTTTTAAACATTATTTATTTCTGTTTACCAATAAATCCTATAATAAGGAATATAATTAAAAATTGATAATAGTTAATACTCATTAAATATTATCAAATAATACTAACTTGTATTTTTGAGTGTTTAACCTTTAAACTTTTACAATCTACAAACTATAAGATCAAGAACCCATAAAGGTGATATATTTCACTAAATTTTGCTATAAAATAATAAAAAAATGTTGTTGGTTAGATTTATTTGTTCTTTCCTGATTCTTTCAATTTACTATACTGTAGGTGAAAAAAATGAATCATTGGTTGCCAGTTTATTTTTTTTCTTCCACCGCGATGCGGCAATCACGTGAACAGCAACGGGTTTTTTTTTTTGGTTGAGCGGTCTGATGGAGAAATAGATATTACACGAACATAATTGATCATTTATCAAAAAGTCGTGCCACAAATCATTAGATCATTAGAATAAATTAGGAATATCAATTTAATCGGTTATCGGTATGGTATAGCTATTAGTTTGTATTAAATTACGGCTAATCACATCTTTAACAGACCATTTTGTTAAAAAAATAAAATAAAAAAATTTTTTCCAGTCTTTAATAGACTGTTTCATTAAATTTCGCCTCAAAAAAAAATTGATTCAGAATCGGGAAAAGATCGACTCGAATCCAGTTTGATTATCTGATCTTTTTTTTTTAGTTTCTTCAAGAACGGACTGAACGGTTCTTTCAGAACGGCGATTTGGAGGAAGGTTTAGTATATTTTATTTTTTTCGGTTTTTTTCCTTTACTTACTTTATTTATTTCTTTAGGAACTGTCTCTTTTGAAACGGCGAGTTAAGTGGACTTCCAAGAGGTACGGGAAGGTTAGTATATTTTTCATTTTTTTTGATTTTATGATTTTTCATTTTTTTCATTTTCTTACTTACTTTATATATTCTTATTTCTTTAGGAACGGTCTCTTCTTTCGCGATTTCAGAACGGCGATTTCAGTGGATTTCTAAGAATGCAGGAAGTTGCGGAAGGTATATTTTCGTTTTTTTTTCTTTATTTTTCTTTTTTCTTCACTTACTTATTCTTATTCTTTAGGAATGGTCCGTTCTTTTAGAACGGTGATGATCAAGAATAGAGGTAAATGGGAGTGTGCGAATGTGTTTATTAATTAAGAACGTTCTAACGATTCTTTTCTTTTTGTAGGATACTGAACAAGCTACTATTAAGAAAACTGACCCAGGTTGACTCAACTCGTTTCGGTCTTTAATTATTTAAAAAAAATATTTTTTTACAGAAATACTTTAGGAACCGTCACTCGGACTTGAATTCGTGAAAGAGTAGGTTAAATATATGGGTTTCTTTTGTTATAGGAACGTCACTAACGTTCCTTTTTTTTTCTTTAGGTACTGGCATTCGGACTTGGAATTCTCTTGCAAGGGTAAGTTAAAAGGTGTGAGGGAAGGGAGGTTTGCTGTAGGAATGTCACTGATATTCTTTTTTCTTTTTTTCTTTAGGAACTTGCATTCGGACTTGGAATTCTCTTGCGAAAAGGGTAGGTTAAAGGGGGTGGGGGAGAGTTTATTGTAGTCATAATTGTTCGACGCGATCCATCAGAATTTTCTTCAGCAATTAATCCCCTTGAACCTTCAATTCTTCAAATGATTTTTGATGTTTAATATGTCCTGAAATTCTTCTTATACGTGACTGTGGTCGTGTTTGTATTTGTGTTTGTTACTGGTGGAGTTGAAGAAACAAACGGTGACGTTAATAGGGCCAAAGTAGTTTTTATTTTACTGGAACGTTACTCCCTTTTTCTTTTTTTCTTTAGTAAATAGCAATGGACTTGAAATTCTTTTTATAAGTTTGTTAGTAAAGATCGGAAATGTTAGATGTTTGATAAAAATTATTATTGTTTTTTAATAAAAAAAATCAATTACGTCAGTACAAACGTTAGTATAAATAAATTACGTTACGTCAATATACGATTCGGCATTGTGCTGTAATATATAACCCAAACTAACCGATTGAATTTTAAAAATTGTAAAATTTTTGATTTTGGAATTTGGATAAGTGTGAATTTAACTATCTTTTAAGTCATTCAGTTATAAAACCTTTCGGTTTACCCGAAGTAACCAGGTTACCCGAAGTGACCTGAATTTAACCTGAATACTTCGGATCAACAGGTCGGGTCAGGTCAGAACATGTTACCCGACCTGAACCGACCTGAAAAAAAAATATCAGTTCAGGTTAACCAGGTAACCCAATCCGACCTGACCCGTGCGGACTGCGGAGCTCTAGACGAGGATATAGAGTCTTGGCCTCTTTGGGGATTAGTGGTTAGCTCGAAATTCAGGGAATCCCCTCTGAATTATCTACCGAAAAGTGAGTAAAAAAAAATATTATTTCATTTATATCATTAAGTCGAATAGCGCTATTTTTTAATATATAACAAATAACCACTCTAGGCGGTAATACTTCCAATGGAAATAAAGTACCCATGCACCTTTTCAATTCTTCTCATTCCTTTATAATATTTGTTATTTGACCAAGATCTAGCTTTTCGCTTAAATAAGGCTTCTTTGCTCCTTCTATGTGGCATGTTTTTAAAAAATATACTACTAAAATAACTGCAGCGATTTTATAATTAAAATTGATACATGTGACTATTGCTAATCAACAGCATTATGTTTATACTGTAGTTCTCAATTACAGATAGTTTGGCCTCAATTTTTTTGCTATCAATTAGTGAAACAAATTAATGTGCATGCACATATTTTCAATTCGAAACAAATAAACATATAATGGATCTGTTTAATATTTTGGTTATTATTCGCTTGAATTCAATGAAAAAAGAGAATTTTTTTAATAAAAGATATACAAAATAAAATAAAATCCTAATTCATTTGCAGAATTTTTTCGAGAGTAACACCAGGTCTGGGAACAAACCTTACTTTATAAGGTTGTTTTTTATCAACAAGTTTTAAATCTAATTTAATGGGATTTCCAGTAATTGAGTCATAATCATTTTCAACGTTAAATAAAGTTAGTGCATAACCAACTGTTGTAATCAAATTTCTTTCAGCAAGATGTTGTCCCACACAAGCTCTTCTTCCTCTACCAAATGTCCAAGGATCTCTTAAATCATCATATTTCTTAAGTTGACCATTCTCATCAAGATAATGTTCAGGATAAAATTCATTTGGACGTTCAAAAAGTTTTTCACTTGTATGTGCAGATTTATAACTCATCATTATGGTAGCTTTTGCTGGAATGTAATAACCTCTATAAACATCATCTTTTGTTGTTGAATGTTTCATTAATGTACTACTTCCCGTCCTGTTAAAAAAAAATTTTTAATCTTTCATTCAAGTAAATTTCAGATTTTTTTTTTTTCTTACCTGCATCTTAAACTTTCTTTAATGGTAGCCCAAAGATAAGGTAATTTTAAATCATCTTGAGGGGTCTGGAAACGATTTCCCTGAAGACATTCATCCAATTCTTTTTGAATTTTTCGTTGCGCTTCAGGATAATTTGCAAGAAGGGCCTTTTAAATTATATAATTTGTTAAAATATTAATTTTTATGAAAATACATTAATTTAGTATACCAATTAGATACGTACCCAGATCCATTGAAAAAAATTAAGTGAAGTTATGGCACCAGCGATTAAAAAAGAATTGTTTAAATTCATAAAATCCACTTCATCAAAAACAAATTGTTTTTTTAATTCATCATCATCATTTTCCAAAGAATCTTCGTAAGGTTTTGAAACAATATCAGAAGAAATATTCATATTCTTTAACACGTGAGCAGCAAAACTATTTTCATTTTCATTTTCTTTAAGTTTTTGACGTAAATCTTCCAGTAAATGTTTAAACAATTCACGAGCTAAATCTCTTGCTTTATAAGCATGTCTATTTATTCTCTTTTCCACGAATGGAATATATTTCAACCACGGAAACTTATCAATGGTACAATTTTCTGGTCTTAAAATTTGAGCGATTTCAGAAACCATTTGTTCTATTTGTTGGGTTAATTTTTCAGATTTTTGTCCAAATAATATGGTGGTAAGTAAATTGATTAAAAAAAATCTCAAATCATTGGTCGGATTAAAGCTTTCTGAAGAACGAACATAAAATTTTATCATGAGATTTTTTACTTCGTTGTGTATAATGTCACGATAATTGATATTAACCATCTTTTGTGTGAGTGCTTGATGTGATACTGCACGCATGGCTCTCCAATACTTTCCATACTACAAAAATATACATATTATATATATGTTTATGAATATGAATCCATGATATACTTATTAATTTTCAATTTACGTTTACATACCGGAGAGAATCCTATAGATTTTCCTCCATCAAAATAAACTCTTGTAGTAGCATCATTATACTAAAAAAAAAAAAATCAAGTAAACTTTATCGCAAAATTCATAATGAAATCCCTCAAACAAAATAAATTTAAGTTTTCTCTTAATTCAGAAGACTTACAGGTCTTGAAGAATAAATAGCACTACGTTTCACCAATACATCTTTTACAATTTCATAATCATTTAATATAACCCAAGTTTCTGCACCATAATGAACTTGAAAAATTGGACCATATTCTTTAGAAAATCTATCAATAAAATCTTGAATGGGGACATTATTAATCTGATGTAAATTTCCAATAATTGGAAGCGGTGTTGGTCCTGGAAGAGGAATACACCCATTTGGAATTTTTGATTTTTTACGTTGATTGTTGAAGAAAACATAAATTATAGCAGCAAAGAATAATGTAAATAAGAATGTAGGCAATCCCATTTTTTGTTTTGTTTGAGAGAGAGAGAATTAAATGTTTGAAAATTTTAATTATAAGTTGATGAAATGAAAATCACTATTCCGATTGGGGTACCGATCATATACATATGTATAGAAAATCGTTCTTTTTTGAACATACTAAGAGAAATTATATGGATAGATGGATAGACAAGGGGGAAACTACCACCGCGGTGGAACTTAATAAGACAATGATTGTCGATTAGAGTACTATAAAAAGTTTTTGAAACAATCTGACGCCCAGCTTAAAGTTAGCTCTGAAATTAGGGCACAGTTACCGAAAGAAATTTCTGATGATACTATTCTAAAGATAACGAATATTGCTAGAAAAATCACCAATTTGTTTGTCCGTTTAAGTGATGATCGGGCTCAACGGATACCATTTCTCAAACGAATAAAATCCTTTACTCCTTATATCATTTTACATTTGAGTCCGGAAAACATTGAATATGTAGTTTCAGAAGTTAATAAACGAACTTGAACAGGCAATAAACACTCTATTCACTGTATTAATAATTATGTAAACGTGAAATAAAGAATTAGATTAGCGATTTATTTCTTTGATAATTGTACGTATTCCAATGAAATCAATGATCAAAAAATTAATCTGTTTTTATTTGAATTTTTAGATGATAATGTTGCACATCGAGGTGATCGGGCAGTAAAATCTCGTAAAGAAATTACTTGGGATGTAATAAATCAACTTGTTATAGCATTTGATAATCCAATGGATAATTCTCTTTTTAAAGATATTTCGGAATTATCTAATATGACCGCAAAATATACATCTGAAGGATGGACCAGATTATTTAATTGTTATTCAATAGGAGAAGAGCGTTTCAATGTTATATTACAACAAGAGATTTTAAAACGCGAAAAACGAGTTGCAAAGGGCAGAAGAGCAAAAAATATTGGACATCATAAAATAGCAAATATGAAAAAATCTAATAATAATACTAGGGGTCGTGGTAGAGGTGGAGTTCAGCATGTATTGCCGTCTAATATATTTACAACTCAATCTTCAAATTCAAATACTTCTGTTTTTAATGAATCACAGCATTCTTTTAGTATGCCTTCTAATCCCATTATTCTTTTGAACAAAATATTAATTACTTGTAACATCAATTTACAAAATATACATCTAAATTCTAGTGTTCTCTCGCAATCTAACCCTAATGCAGAAATTCAGAATCTTCCTAATATACAAGCTATTCATTCTCTTCCAGACCCAATTCAAAATCCCCAAACAACCAAACGTACCAAAAGAACAACCTGTACACAAGAATTATCATTTTTAGAACCATTAGTGAATGATACAAGCGAAGAAAATATTAATAATGCTATTCAACAATTGAATAATTGGAATATAGCAAATAATCAAACTGAAAATATGTGGGATAGACAACGCGTAATAAAATGGGTACAAACACGAACCCGTGATAATAGGTTGACAAGAGAGAAACGAGAACGAAATAATTAAGTCTAAAAATAAATTATTAGTATCAATATATTGTATTAATATAGAAACATTGTAATATTTACCGTTATTAATAAAGAATTTTTATATTATCATCCATCTTTCAACAATGTACATATAAACTTCTGACCAAATTTTACAATAATACACCTATATTAATGGTTGACATTTCGTGCGAAAGAACTTATATTGGCAAAAGGCTCTCAGTTTAAAGGTCAAAAAGTCATAGAAAAGCCTTATATATTGAAATATTTAAGGGAGTGAGGTATTTCAATGAAATTAGTGCCATTTGAAAGTTCATACGTATTACTTTTAATGTATTTCAAAAAAAGTTAAAGTCGTTGTCCTGTTCGATTCGAACCAAATGAGATAGGCTAATTTATGTAGTACAAAATTTGATTGGCGCTGCGCCAGTGACTGTTATGAGATCCGCACTACTCTAGAACATGCTAGAAATTCTAAATATAATATATATCATCCACCGGACAATTATAATATACAACGATAGTTCGTATGATTTCTCTTTGATGTTGGCCAATAAAATTCTTTGCATGTGACTTATTATGTAAATGTGAACTGAAAAAAATTTGTCTCCACTTTCCAGTGTTGGGACGCGTCAGGACATGTTTAATCAATGAAATCTATTTTTAGAAGCGGGCACCTATCTAGATTTCTCATTTAAGACGAACATAAAAATGGATTTCTTTGATGAGACAGATGTTTCCGAGTGGACTTGTCGAGTACTATAAGAAGCATATTTCACAATATGGATCTCTCAAAAAGATTCTTTATGATATAAACATAAAGCTCAAACAGATTGTAGCTGACTCTGACTCTAATTCAATGCATGGAGAGACGTCACAGTACATTATTGATAATTGGAAGGTATGTATTGTTATGTTATGATCTGAGTGAGATTGAGGGGATAAAGTCTCATTTTGTGAGATTAAAGGGGCAGTTGAGATTTGGCCAAACTGGAAGCCTGGGACACACAAAGTCAACCGGTCATGAACGCAAAGTTTAACACTTCTCTCAACTCCATTATTCTTTTTTCCCTCAACTCATTAGTCTTTAAGAGCCATACAAATTTTAATTTTCTTCCTTCTTTTTTTTTAAGAATTGGACCAAAAATGTGAAACAAACAGCTCAGAAAATGAGTTGATTCAAAAAAATATTAATAAACGTGAAATCATTATAGTATGTTCTTTTTAACTCTGTTCACAAGATGAAGATATACAGAATCATGAAATTAAATTTATTTTTTTGGCTCCTTTTACAGAAAGAACATTATAATGAAATTTTAAAAAGTGCATTAGTACAAGATCAAATCTTAACAACTACACTTACCAAGCGTTTAGCAGATTTTAGTAATAACCACAAAGAGAATCGTTCAAAAAAATGAGCGATATTAATAATTTAATTTAATTTTGTTTTACATCTAGTTCATTAAGTAACATTCCTTATATGCACAGAATATGCAGAATGATGAGCCAAAGACTAATCATAAACAGAATGAAAACTTTAAGATATCCGATATAGACCTAAACATCTTTTCTACTGAGACTGGTGAAACTGAGTTGTTGAATCCTGTGCAAAAATATTTAAAAAAGTATAAAAAATATCTGAATAAAGATAGTCAAAGTAATGTTTAGTTATTGCCCTCTGGAAAATTAGTTAAAAAAGTAATTCGCAGTCTGGATGACCTACATAAATCTCAGTAACATCCTATTTCATATTTTTCAACCTTTTTTTTATTATGTATTTAGCCTGTCATGTTTAGGAATTATACATATTAGTACAAAAGTTTGCAGACCCGAATGGATCAAATCTAAAAATTGGGATTATTTATAAGACATCATAGATTATTCTAATTGTGAATTTTCATGCAATATAAAAAATTTATTCATGCATTATTAGAGACTGTAAGGATAAATTATTATTTTATTTTTAATAAAAATACTATTTACATTCTTCATAACGTCAAATTTGATAATGAATTAAATAATGAAATGATATTTATAGTGGATGTTCTTTTGTAATTTTTAGTATATTTGATTTTATAAAAATATTACTTATTTACACAGGTCGAAAAGTGAAAAATCAGTCACCAATCGGTCACCAATCAGGTAGCTGATTAATGACCGATTGGTGNCAGTCTGGATGACCTACATAAATCTCAGTAACATCCTATTTCATATTTTTCAACCTTTTTTTTATTATGTATTTAGCCTGTCATGTTTAGGAATTATACATATTAGTACAAAAGTTTGCAGACCCGAATGGATCAAATCTAAAAATTGGGATTATTTATAAGACATCATAGATTATTCTAATTGTGAATTTTCATGCAATATAAAAAATTTATTCATGCATTATTAGAGACTGTAAGGATAAATTATTATTTTATTTTTAATAAAAATACTATTTACATTCTTCATAACGTCAAATTTGATAATGAATTAAATAATGAAATGATATTTATAGTGGATGTTCTTTTGTAATTTTTAGTATATTTGATTTTATAAAAATATTACTTATTTACACAGGTCGAAAAGTGAAAAATCAGTCACCAATCGGTCACCAATCAGGTACCTGATTAGTGACCGATTGGTGACTGATTGATGCCTGATTTTTCACTTTTTGACCTGTGTTATTTGTTTAACTTACCTTAATTTTGAAAATGCAAAAAACTTGTTCAATATGAAGTTGACATTTTATAGTACAATAAAAATGAAGTAATATTAGGCTTGCTTATGGTTCATCCAATTTTACAATATCTTGCAAATGCAGTAACTGGTCATGCTATATATATGCCATATATGATATATTTCTCAATTTAATATCAAATATATATTTGATTTTCATTTCATCTTTTCATGATATTAAAATTCTACAAATAAAGAAGAAATTTATCTAAAAGTAAGTGCAAATCAGCAACTATTATGATGTGACTTTAAACCTGTTGATGATAGATTTTTAGATATAAAGGTCAATGGTTTTTTTCAATCCTCTAGTGAAAAGGGTCTTGAATTATACATGATAGAGTTATCTGGAGGCTATTTAACTTTTGATTTGTCTTGCTATCTGAAAGATTATGTAAAAGGATATTGGGTAGTCATGACCTATTTAATAATATAGTTACAATATTAAATTATGGTGATTTTAAAATTATAAGATATTTACAAACTTATTTTTTTTATACAACATGGTAAGTTAGTTGTTAAGTTTTGAATTTTTAAGTTTTACACTTAAATTATTTCTATTTGCAAATAGGACTAGAAGTACAAATTTAGGGCATGAATTTACTTGTCTTAAAAATTTATCAAATATTTCTCATTGGAACTTTTCAACTTCCAGTCAGTTGAAAAAACTATTATAAATTCATATATACTTTAAAAGTCTTATGAAGTAAAATTTTATAATTTTGATCATATTGTCATAATCACTGATTATTATTTTTTTTTTTGTACAGATGGATTTAGATGATAGCATAAAAGTACTTAAGAAACTCAAAAAGTTTCACCACAAAAATTCAGCTTTGCATTCTCAAATTTCATTAAAAAGCTATATGGGCGATGTTAAAAATTTGTTGTAAAAACCTAAAGATAAAAATTTACGTATTATTAATTCACTTATATATTAATGATGACAATTACAATAATTCTGACTATGACGATCCACCTTTGCTTTTACCTTCATCAAATTGGTGATTAGATATTATTAAATATAAATAATAATCTTGCAGAATTTAAATTTTAATGCAAAAAAATGATAAAAATACGCTATCTATTCTATAATATATATAATAAAGTATTAAAGCTTTGTTACCCAATGTTTGTGTTTAATTTTATATAGAATTTTTTTAGTTATATTTAAAATTGCTAAATAAAATTTCATCAGTACTATTATACAGATTTGTACCATATCAAAAGTTCAAGAAATTGGCATAAGAATCCAGTGATCAGCAGTATAATGATGTAACTTACACTTTTTATAACTTATATTTAGTTTAATTTACATCCAGTGTAATTTATATAAAGTTTAATTTATATATAATATAATTTATACTAAAATTATGAACAATATATATAGAATAAATAAACAGTAAGAAAGAAGATTTTCAAGTATTGATATTAGGATAAAGGATGAACAATTTGACTAAAGTGAATTTATAGACTATCTGAACTATGCTATTTTACATAAAAAAATGATTTAATTAAAAGGTATCTTAGTACAATCATAAACTGGATGCAGTACTACATATAAATGGCATAGCATAACAATCAGAAAAATTCTTACTGAAAATTGGATCTATGTAATATAAGATTGAATTTCATATTTCTATTTTGCAATTATTTTGTTTCATTTTATCTTACAGCTATAAAAGATAGAATTATGCATCAAGAGTTTCTGATTTTTCAATATTTCCACCTTATAAAAGAGGATATATATCATTTTTATACCTTAACAGTAAATATAGTTCTTATGATTATATACAATGAACTTTAAATAAATGATCTAATTTAAATATCATGACTCCCTATGAAAAAAAAAATTCTTTAAAATATACTTAAAATGTACTTATATATTTTTAAAATATATCTAAAATGTACTTAAAATTTTTAAATGTACTTAAAATATACTTAAAATTGCAATTTTAAGTATATTTTAAGTATATTTTAAAATGTTAAGTATATTTTAGATATATTTTAAAAATATATAAGTATATTTTAAGTACATTTTAAAGAAATTTTTTTTTATAGGGACTATGATAAATTTTGTAGTATTTTAATTAATAACAGTGATTATTTGAATAATATTGAAACTTTAGTTTTTTTCTAATTTTTATAATGAAAATTTCTACTTAAATAAAAAGTAGTATCATCAACAAAAAAATTAAAGATACATTTAATTCACTTTAAATGTATTATATAGTATTTGTCTGCTAAAAGTAAATAAAAAATCTATATGTAAATCACTTCATGATGTATTAAATAGAGACTAATTATTCTGTGAAAAAACTACAGCAAATATCAAAGTATATGGCTGGATAAATCCATTACTTGAAACAGCAAAGTTTAATAAAAAAAATATCATAAGCAATATATTTATTGCAAATAGAAAAAATTCTTTGCCAGCAGAGGAATTTTCTTTTTTAGTTAATAAATAAAAAGTAATTGTGAAGACATTTTATACTTTAATAAAAGTAAAAATGTAAAACTATATATGTTTCTTTACAACATACAGATATAATTCCTGCTAAAATTGTGAAAATCTTTTCAAAAAAGCAATATCCTAAAGTTAAAATAGACTTTAAAAATGCTGATACCTTTTGTATGATTAATTTTATCATTGAGAATATAAAAATTTTTTTAAATAAATTAGTAGTTTATAATAAAAATCTCCTTAAAGTTTTCAAGAACATAAAAAAAGTGTTTGAAATAAGATAGCACATAAAGTTGCAGGAGAAAATGGTCGATAGAATGATATAGAACTTCTAAATATATTTCTTCTGTTATACAAAGTAATTTAATATCTTAGTAAGTAGTTTGTTAAATAATCTACTACAAATAGGAATGTGAATATATATTATTTTTTTTTTTATTTTAATATCAGGGATAATTGCAGGATTCTGAATATTATTAAAACAACTCAGATCCTGCGTAATTAAAATTTAAAATGCAATATCTCAGTCATCATTTTTTTTCTGATTTTTCCATTGGAGATGAGTGAGATATCAAAGTCATATGACTTGTTGTAGTTTTTTATATATAATTCAAATTAGCATTCAATATTATACCTAAAAAGATAAATTATATATCAAAATGATCATCTTGTTGAGATGAATCTAATAAGTTAAAGATTATTAAAATTCAATTACTGAATTCTGAAATAGCAAAATTTGAAGCTAAAATCTATATATAATTTTATACATTTGGAACAGAAATTAATTATAAGGTTTATATAAATTCAGATCTAAGTTTTTTTTAGTAATGTTTGGGATTCTGTAATTATGAAGATGTATATATTGTAAACAGTCGAATATTAAGCGTGAACAAATAATATACCAAATGGACAAATGTGAATGTCAAGTACTAAGTACGAACAAACTAATCTTGAATTAGTGTTTGGAATCATGTAACAGTTATTCGAATAACTCGAATATATTCGAGTATTCGAATAAGCATAGTGGTTATTCGAGTATTCATTTAGCCAGATATAGTATAGTTAAAATTCTAATTGGGCATTAAATCCTTAAATTTAACTGAGTTAAAATCATAATTCAGGCTAAAAATTATGTAAATCATTACTATAAAAGGAAATTTAACTTATTCGAATATTATTCGAATACACTTTATAAATTTAAATGAATACTCGAGTATATTCGAATATATTCGATTCCAAACACTATCTTGAATCAGCGTGAATGGATAAATGATTAGCCGAAAAGGATAAATATTTAGGAAAAGGAATGATCTACATGATGTAATATTTATTGAATGATTAACAAGGAACCAATAGATTAAGTAGGGAGTCGATCGATTGTGGCTTAGCAACCAGTTTATTGAATTCAACAATAGAAGCAATTAAGAGGAGTAATTATAAGCCACAAAAGATAAATCATAAGGAAAACATATAAAATGAAGGGATAGCGGATTAAAGGAACACGCATGATAAAAATACATAAAAACAATAATATGAAAAGATAATATAAAAGATAATATGAAAAGATAATATAAAAGATAATATAAAAGATAATATAAAAGATAATATAATATAAAAGATAATATGAAAAAATAATATAATACGAAAAGATATAAGCCACAAAAGATGGAATATAATATATTAAA